TGTGGGATCTTCCCGGACCGGGGCACGAACCCGTGTCCCCTGCATCGGCAGGCAGACTCTCAACCACTGTGCCACCAGGGAAGCCCCTCATAGTGCAATTTTTAATGTTAGTGAAGTCCAGCTCATCAGTTAGATATTTCATGGACTGTGCCTTTGGAGTGGTGTCTAAAAAGTCATCACCATACCCAAGGTCACCTAGATTTTCTTTTCCTTTTAAATATTTATTTATTTTTTGGCTGCGTTGGGTCTTCGTTGCTGTGCACAGGCTTTCTCTAGTTGCGGCGAGCAGGGGCTACTCTTCGTTGTGGTGCTCAGGCTTCTCATTGTGATGGTTTCTCTTGCTGTGGAGCACAGGCTCTAGGCGTGTGGGCTTCAGTAGCTGTGGCTTGCAGGCTCTAGAGCACAGGCTCAGTAGCCGGGGTGCATGGGCTTAGTTGCTCCGTGGTATGTGGAATCTTCCTGGACCAGGAATCAAACCCCTGTCCCCTGCATTGGCAGGCGGATTCTTAACCACTGCACCACCAGGGAAGTCCCTAGATTTTCTTCTATGTTATCTTCTAGGAATTTTATAGTTTTACATTTTATGATCCATTTTGAATTGTGAAGAATGTAAGGTCTTTGTCTAGATTTATTTATTTATTTGTTTTGCATGTGGATGTCTGGCTGTTCCAACACTACTTGTTGAAAAGACTGTCTTTTCTCCACTGTACTGCTCCTCACAAGTTTTCGTTAAGTAATCTATCATTTTGCCTTATATTTGAGGTGTGTCCTTTGTCAGATTCTTTGTATAAGGTACATTTCTGGATTCTTAATTCTGCTCTGTTAATGTGTTTGCCTATAACTTGCATATACTTGCTATTTTAATTTAATAAGAAGTGTTAAAACGAAGATGCACCGGTCCCCAATTATTACTATTTTTCCCTTTAAATTTTTTGGTTTCACCAAAAACTCCTGTTTGATTTTTGAATGTAGTTAATGAATCCATAAATTAATTTGGGAAGATTGGCACATTGGCTTCTCATTTTTAGGAACCTGGTAGTCTCTCAGTCATATTGTTTTGTTCATTAATTGAATTAGGCCAAAGGGCATGGAGCTGAAAGTGACCTTAACAGAAATGTGCAAACCAGACCATGATAGGCACTCCCTAAGGTGGCTTATGGAAGGAAGTAGCCAGAAATTGTGAGGCACTCCCAGGGATAATTTATCAACCAGAGGCATTATGAGGCCCAGACTTTGTTTTGTTTTTCTGTTTTTTTTTGTTTTTTTTTTTTGCGGTACGTGGGCCTCTCACTGTTGTGGCCTCTCCCGTTGCGGAGCACAGGCTCCGGACACGCAGGCTCAGCGGCCATGGCTCACAGGCCTAGCTGCTCTGCGGCATGTGGGATCTTCCCGGACCGGGGCCGAACCCGCGTCCCCTGCATCGGCAGGCGGAGTCTCAACCACTGCGCCACCAGGGAAGCCCCCAGACTTTGTTTTGAAGTCTATACTTTTATTTGCTAAATCTAGCACCCTATCCCTAACAAATGTCAGTTCCCTTCCCTTCCTACCATCTGTAAGCCTGGATTTGTGACCCTGACTACCTCCCAGGTCTCTGTGAGGCTCTCATTTATTCCCACAAACGGATTCAACCCACAAAGGCTTGTTGGGCCGGTACAGGCGGTGCACAAAGACAGAGCGAGAGAGGTTAACCAAGATTTCTGGCTTGGACTTGTATTATGAAATGGCCTAAAAAAGGTCCAGTGCTGTTCAAACACAAGCTGTTGGTGTCACGGTGGCCATTGAGTTTCTGGGGCCTCCTTTTGGACTGGAAACTCCAGAAGAATGGCATTTGATCTCTTTCAGGAGCTTAATGTGGTATCCGTCACCTCCCCCTGGTTCTCTAGGAAGCCTGTCGGTGCAGAGAAGGAGCTGGGTCACACTCCGGTCAGGTCGGGGAGAAGCCAGGATTAGCAACTCCAGCTCCCCGGCGGTACATCCCCATACCCTCCCGGGCTCTGCTCACACCTGTCCGTGAATCAGAGCTTTGTTCTGGCTCCCCTGATGGCAGGAGCCTTCCTGCCTGTCCCACAGCGGAGATTCCTTTCTGGACTCACACTTTCAGATTCCCCTGGCTACTGGCTCTGCTTCACTCCCCACCCATCCCCACCCCCCAGTAGGGAGAGGGGCTGCAGAGCCCACGTGTCTTGCTGTCCTCCCAGCACCTCCCAGGTCTTGCCACTCCTGCCGAAGCCAAAAGAGACCCCACCCAACCCCGGAGTGGGGTCCCTGCCCAGGGTGGGGAGAGTGCTGACTCACCCACCAGAGTTGGGAGACAGTGGGATGTGAGCAGATCAGTGTGGTGTGATTTCCTCCTACATTTTTGGGGTGCGTAGGGTGGAGGTAAGGCAAGGTCATCAGTCCTCTTAGGGAGGGGAGAAGCTTCTCAGAATCTTGTGTCGGGTCAGGTGGCTTGCAGGTTGCAGGTGGAGCAGGTCTCACCTGAGGGGAGAGCAGAGGCCCCGTAGCGTAGACCTGGGTCAGCTCTGGTGCAGACACTGTCAGCTCACATTAGTGATTCTTTGTGCCCTGGTTCCTTCTTTGCAAATTAGTTTTTTTTTAAAAAAAATTTTTATTTATTTTTGGCTGCGTTGGGACTTCGTTGTGGTACATGGGCTTCTGATTGCAGTGACTTCTCTTGTTGCGGAGCACAGGTTCTAGGCACACAGGTTTCAGTAGTTGTGGCATGCGGGTTCCATAGTTGTGGCTCACAGGCTCTAGAGCGCAGGCTCAGTAGTTGTGGTGCACGGACTTAGTTGCTCTGCGGCATGTGGGATCTTCCCGGACCAGGGTTGGACCCGTTCCCCTGCATTGGCAGGCAGATTCTTAACCACTGCACCACCAGGGAAGTTCCTGCAAATTAGGTTTAATAAACTGCCAATCTCATGCGGTTGCTGTGAGACATTATAAGATGCAACTGAAGTGCTTAGTCCAGCACCTCGTATTAATACGAGGAGGGAAAGGCTGCTCTGAGCTTGGGTTGAAATGGTTTCTCTGGAGTAAACTGAAAAGATTTCCATGACACCTTGCTTTGTGCAGATGTCCTGGGCAGGGGGTAGCGGGTGGGCAGGTGGCAGTCTTCTACTCTCCTCCCCCCTCCCTGGTCTCCAGTAAGGGGTGTGTGCGTGGAGAGGGTGAGATTAGCTCACGGGCTCACAGCAAAGCCACCTGATCTTTATAAACTGCAAACCTGTCTCTTCAGAATTCCAACCAGCAGGCACGCCCGGAAACCAATGCCAGAAGAATTTTGTCACACCCAGGATGGGCCACTAATTAATGATGCTTCTGTCTTTAATCCCAGATGGGTTTGCATCTGTATGTTTTAGGGACTGAGGCAGGAGACAGATGGGCTGCAGGCTGGGCAGCTGGAGTTGTCCCCTGTGGAAGGATACTGTAAAATAGCAGGAGGGAGGAGAAGCTGAGCCCTGCCCAGATAAAAGACCACATGTTCCTCATTCTCAAGTCAAGGAGACCTTCCCGACTACACATGCACAGAAAGGCTCCTTGAAGGTCAAAAAGGGAGGAGGTGTCACCTCATAGCAGGTGATGTCAACCTACCCTTAGGCCTCTTCGCTAGAATCCATCTTGACTGAGAGATGTGACCACACACAGGGGAGGACCCTGAGATAAACCAAATACGGACTCAGAACCAGGCAAAGCAAGATGATTGGTCAAAGGAAACCTGGAAGAAATGCCCCATAAAAGTGATTCAAACTACCACGAGGGCGTGACTCTCTCTCTGAGCCCGCCCGTGTGTCTATCCATGTATACCCCTTTTCCTCCTAATAAACACTTTACTTGTTTCACTGCTTTCTGTCTCTATGAGGAAATTCATTTCGACGCAGCTGACGGGCCAGGGCCTTGTCACTGGCCGCTGGTCGCTGGTGGTCTGGGGATTAAGATTCAGTGCTCTCGCTGCTGCAGCCTGACTTCAGTCTCTGGCCGGGAACCAAAATCCTGCTTCAAGCCGCTGCAGGCCGAGGCGACCCGGAATCAGGACTAAATGGTGAAAACACCCACTGACACATAGACACAAAGAAAAGGTGTCTGACACGAGGGCATCTTAGAGGAGGAAAGAGGGAAATAACATTTATTGGGTCCCAGGGGGTCTGCAAACATTACTTCATTTACTCTTCATAAGAATCCTAGATCGTAGATAGCTTTTATCAGTTTATAGAAATGGGGGTCCAGAGGTTAAGCAGGAACCCCAATGTCACACAACTTGTAAGTGGGGGAGTCAGCATTCGCACCCACGACTCACTCCGCAGCCACCTTCCGGCTCTATCAGGGAGTGTTCCGAACCACCACTCTGGCCCTGTGTCCGCGGCTGAGGACACACTTTCTCACCAAATCCAGGGCAGCCTCGGTGCTCTTCTACATATAGTCGGTCACTCTGGATCTGCAGGGTGGGTGTGCCAACCAAGCCTGTGGGCTATCCCAGCACCATTCCAGCTGCCTTCCCATCGGCCATCATGGGCTCTTTGTGCTGACTCAGGTGTGTCTTAGGGCCCAGCTCCCCCTGCAATGCTGACGCTGGGCTCAGGTAGGCAGTGCCAGGTGTATGACAGGATTCCTGGGAAGGTTTATCATTGATGCGGGGCATTTTTTCATTAGCGGTGCGTACATTTGAGTCAGTCATTCCCCTCTCCTCTGTTAAACGTTAGTTCCTCTGGGATCGGTGACATCCATACTTTACTGCAAATTTATTTTCTGGGTCACTTTTTCTGTGTCCAGTTTTTTCTTTTCCAGTTGTCTGGGGACATTGGCTGAAACCCAAAGCCTAGAACAATAGGTGATCTCCCTTGCCCCCCTCCCCAACTTCCTCACCCCCTCACCTCCACCAACCCACACATTTTAAAGAGAGATGCTAGACCATCCGTGACGAGCTTGCTAAGAAGTATTCAAACCGGTCCTGCAACTTCTGGTCTTAGCACATCACCCACCTCCAACCTAGATCTAAGAGAAGTCTAAAGAATGTTCAGAGAGCTGAGGATTTCTTTAATGAGAAGGAAGGTGCAGCCAAACCCCATGTGGCTTCGTTAAACTATTTCTTGGGCATGGCATAATTTCCATAGTTTGTTGGGCCAGGGCCGGAATGTTTCCTTGGGGTCCGAGGTGACATGACTGACACCTTGGGAGATAGCTAGGCTCGAGGGTCTTGAAAGCTCCCCAACTCAAGATTTCTGCCTGCTCAGGAAGGGACATCCCAGTACAAAGTGCCTCTGTGGGCTGAACTTTCAAGCAGGAGCTAAGGGATGTTTGTAGAAAGTTAGCTGCAGAGGGCATCACCCATGTCGCCTGGATCAGAGAATGGGGCAGTGCTGCGGGATCCTCAGCAAGGGGTCTTCAGGAACCCACTCAAGACCCCCTTGAAGAATAGGGGAAAAGTCTGCCTGTAGACAACTGGTAAGTAACAGCCTCCCAAAGATGTCCACGTCCTAATCTCCAGAACCTGTGACTACGTTGCCTTAATTACAGAAAGGATTTCGTAGATGTGATTAAGGATCTTGAAATGGGGAAATTATCCCGGATTATCCAGGCAGGCCCAATATAATCACAAGAGTCATTTTAAGAGAAATGTGAGGACAGAAGCAGAGGTCAGAGAGGAGAGAAGGTGCTCCTGGCTTTGAAGATGGAGGAGAGGGCCACATGCCAAGGAATGCAGGTAGCCCCTAAAAGCTGAAAAAGGCAAGGAAAGGGGTTCTCCCTTTGAGCCTCCAGAAGGAAGGCAGCCCATTGTAGACTTAAGATCTCAAGAACTGTACGAGAATAAATGTTGGTTGCTTTAAGCCGCTAAATTGGTGGCAGTCTGTGAAGGCAGCAGTAGGAAACTAATACACCTTCCATGACCTGGAGGCATTCAGCAGCCAGTGTATCTTTGTCAGATGAAATACAGCCTGCCCAAATGTGGCACGCAACATTCTTACGCCAAAACATTATTCATTGTTTATCTGACATTCAAATTTAACCGGGCATCCTGTTTTTTTTTCTAATTTGCTAATTCTGGTCAGAGAGGAGTAGAAAATGCGTTAACTAAAAGGACGATTTGCCCCTCTGCTTCTCATACCTCTTCCCTGCCCCAAATCTGGAGACCCAAAGCAGGTGGTGAATGTGGAAGAAGGAGTAGGAAGTCAGAAGGAAGGGTCCGTGACCCTCCCCAGGGCAGGTATCTGTGTCTGTGTCGGGTGCAGGACTGAAGAAGAGGCAATAAGCCTTGAGTTGGCCGAGAGATGCAGGTTTTCACTTAGATTGGCCTGGAATTTTTAATATCTGAAGATAAGGATCATTGGTTAATATCTGAAAGTGACCAGAATATTTTGGGATCTTTCCAAGATATTGGCCCAGGAGGGGAAGAGAGAACCAAGAGCAAAGGGTTGAAAGGCAGGGGGGAGAAAAAGGAAAGGCAATGTCCAATTACACAGCAAATCCAGCCCAGTCAGTAAACCAACCACCATCTCTTTACCCAATCACCACTCTCCTCTGCTGACCTGCTTTCACCGCTTCTGGGAAAAGTGACACCCACATCTTACCCTGCCATAATTTTACTAGATTGCTTTTTTTCTGAGCCAGGAACGATTACCTGGCACCACAGTGAGGGGAGAGGGTGAGGAAAAGGGCAGAAATTCCAGAGGGGACCTCAGGAATAAGGAGGACCGCGTGTGAACTGGATGACTTTTCGGGGCGTGGCCATCTCTCGAGACTGGGCCTGAGCAGCTTTGGTGAACCAGGCCCAAATCCCACCATCCAAAAGGAAAAAGATGGTGAGGCTGAAAAGTTAGGTGCCTGGAGTTTTCCAGACAGGCCCTGTGAAAATCTCCCAAAGCAGGGCTCGCACTAGAATTCCACGCGGTGATTGTGTTGGCTGCAGGGAACTGCTGAGAACATTCCCTCCACCTGGGTTTTCTTGACCTAAGCAGATGTGAGTGGCTTCTGTGTGACTCACCCTAAGCCTGACCTATTTGTGAAATGCTTTCTCTACAAAAAGCTGGAGATGAGTGCAGAGAATTATACATTTATAACCCCAGTATAGACAGAATTGTCTAACCCTCTCATTTTAGCTACTCCCTGCCCCGCCCGTGGTCTGTGAATGCTGACCAAATGTTGGCGAGTGTCTAATGGCCTAACCTATTGGCTCCAGCGGTAATTGCCAGGTAGGTGGGGGTAGGAGATGATGAGTAGTGGGGGGCTTGCAAAGTGCAGGAGCAGTGGGCTCGGGGAGGCTGTGAGCGCCCAGAGATCCATTTCTCATTCTGCTTTGCTTCGCGGTACCCCAGGAACCTTGTAAGTATGAATGGGCTGCAGACGAGGTATCAGCACAGTGGGGAGTTGGCCTGATGTAGTGGAAGGAGCTGGGACTTCACACTCAGATCTGGGCTTGGATTTTTTTGTGCCATGTTACTTGCTGTGTGATGGGCTTTTCATACTCTCTTCCAGAACCTCTTTCCTCATCTACCAAATGGCCATAGTGATCTGCCCTTTCTGCATCTCAGACTTCATATAAGAGTAAGAGAAATGTTACCTATGAAATGTCACATACTGCAAAATGTTCTACAAAAGTTTTGAAAGTGCTTAGAGAGCTTTACATGAGGTTTCTGAAAATTTGCCTTTTTCATGACAGCTGATGCTAACATGGTCTGGACTAGCTGAGCCTGCCTGGGACCCACCTTCCAGTCTGCCCAGACTCTCCCATCTAACTCCCCGTCAGGATTTGGGTGGGGAACCCAGTAGGCCCAGCCCCGGGAGCTCCGGTTAATAACTAGAGCCGCTGCTACCAACACTGCAGAGCTGCTGGTGCCCCTGAGAATGTCTCCATTTCCCCCTCTGTGCCCCGCCAAGGAGGAGGGAGTGCTCCGGGGCTGGGGGAAAGGGTGACACCGCGACAGCACCTCGTTGGGTTCTGCCATGGCCGCCTGCTGGCTGCCTTACTCAGCAGTCTCTGAGCGTGGAGCTTCGAGGGGGCGTTGGTGGTGACCTTGGGTTAAGCTCAGATGCCACACTCGTTCCTGCTGCTGAGAGCAGCTACCTGCCAAGGCAGGTGTGGGCCTCTTCTGTTGCAGAGGCTGAGGTTGTATCACCCTCCTAAAGCTCCTTTGGCTTCATCTTTGAAAAGAGAAGATGCGACACGGTGGTTGAGTCACGTGCTTGGATTCTGGCTTGTTTCTTTGGAGATTTGACTGGTCGCCATTGGGACCATAGGCAGGAGTGGAGCTGGTTTCCTCTGCACCTGTTTCTGTCAACTTCTGATATTAACAGAACGGCCAGATTCCAGAGACTTCCCAGGTCTAGCTGGGCCAGATTGGGATCTGCAGTGAGGCCAGTGGTGGGTCAGGGAGTACCCACGAGGTGAGGAGGGAGAGGGGAGTCCCAGCCTCGGCCACAGGGCTCAGACGTGCTTCCTGCTGGGTTCTGCTCCCTGCCCCAGGTGTGACCGGCCCTGGGCAGATCAACTGCTGTGGGGAGGTGGGAGGTGGGGAAGTGGGCCACACTGAGAAGCTAGACCAGAGCAAGGGCATTTCCTGACAGAAGTGTCTAAGGACTTCAGAGAACAGTCTTTTAGAATGTTACGAGTCACCTTTGCTGACATCCAAAATTTACACACAAAAATGTAAAGCCGTTCTCATCTTTGTCTTTTGCTAGGATCATTAGCTGAAAACACCCCCAGCACATGGACAGAATCAACACAACATAGACATTATTTCAATATGCAAGTTTTGGACCCAGATGGCCTGGTTTCAAATCCTGACTTTGCCCCTTACTCACTGGGCTACTTTGGGCAAGTCATTTAACCTACCTGTGCCTCAGTTTCCCCATATGGATCCCGTGGATCCCATGGGAAAATAATAGTATCAACTTTATAGGATTTATTATTAGTTTTAGTTTATTAGTTTTATTATTTATTTTTTTAGTTTTATTTATTTTATTGTTTTAGTTTTATTATTAGTTTATTAGTTTTATTTATTTTTAGTATTATTTATTTTTATTATTTATTATTATTAGTTTATTAGTTTTATTATTTATTTTATTTTATTATTTATTATTATTATTAGTTTTCCCATATGGATCCCATGGGAAAATAATAGTATCAACTTTATAGGATTTATTATTATCCCATGGATAATAATAGTATCAACTTTATAGGATTGCTGTGAGGGAGGAAAATGTACGTTAATACACGTAAAGTGCTTAGAATAAGGATGGGGTCAAAATAAACTTTCAATAAGTGTGAGCTCGTCTTGTTTCATGTCATTATTTCAAGAGTATAACATTTCTCCTCTCCTTTTTGTATGCCTGGCTCTGATGGAAAATAGGTTTCAAGTGGTGTGTCAAGTTCAGTCCATTGTAGCTACCTGGACAGCTGTGTTGAGAAGGATTCTGAAGCTGCATCCAATCTCAGCAAGGGGAATTATGTGTCCCATTAGCAGGATCTGCTGTGAGTGAGGACATAGGGAGCAGTGGCATGGGTGCCACATAGTTTCCTGTTCTGTGACTTGCCCTGCTTTAAGGGTTTTTGTTTGTTTGTTTGCAACATCTTTTTTTTTCCTTTTTTTTCCTGGCTGTGCCACGCGGCATGTGGGTTCTTCATTCCCTGACCAGGGATAGAACCTTCACCCCTGCAGTGGAAGCGTGGTGTCTTAATCACTGGACCGCCAGGGAAGTCCCTGCTTTAAGGTTTTGTGTTTTTTTTTTTCTCTTTCTACCTCGGTCCAAGCCCTCCCCTTGCTACCTGCCTTTGCCTCTGGTATCCCGGTCCTTTGATGGGCTTTGCTGTCAATAGCTGCTCTGTAGAAACTGGAGATCATGTCAGATAAGAACTTTGAGATTTTTTTCCTTTGGAGAAAGCAAAGCCTGCAAGGCCTGGTGTAGAGGATGCTGCTAGCTCAGTGGGAAACCTGAGGGTTTCTCTGTGTGCAGAGCAAGGGCGTTCTCAGAGAAACCGGGAAGCTCTTCACCGGGCAGCTTAGTCTTCTGTGATCCCCATTGTTCTGGAATCTAAACGCTAATGATTAGTACAGGAACTTCCTCACAGCCTAGGCAATCATTGACTTGTTAATGCATGCAGGACCTTGTGCTGAGTTATCCCTATTTCCATTCAGTGGCGGTCTTTCTGCCTGAACACAGGTGGACGGTTGTGGTCAGGTCACCTTGTGGCCCCTTGTGGCCATCTCTGTTTGCAGAGTGCCATTCTGCCAGTTTGGGGAGCTGTGCTTTGTCTTGAGTCGAAGAGATCTGGGTTTGAATTCCTTGTTCTACCAATTACTAGCGTCGTGATTTGAATAAGTTGCTTAAACTCTCTAAGCCTCACTCTCCTTGTCCGTAAATGGGAAGAAGAGCAGACCCACCTCATCAGGCTGTAGGGAGGCCTAAGCGAAGGACGCACTGAAAGCACGTGGCATGAGCCTGGCCCATGTTAAGTGCACCAAAAGCGGTAGCTATTATTTTCTTAACTCAACCAGAAAGCTCATCTTCATTAAGTGATATAATATAAAAATAATGGTTCAAATTTGTGTGACACTTTCACCTTTATTATGCCTAGCACAGAGCAAGCACTGAGTATTAGCTATTATTATTAATAATAACATTGAGAGCAGCAGCTCTACTTAGCTATGAAGGGTGAGATTATCACCCAAGCCCTTGACCAGGCCTCTTAACTTGGGGCCCATGGACCCCTTGATGGTCTGTGGGTAGAATCTGTGGGGTTTGTGACCTTGGATAGGAAAAGAATTAGACTTTTTATTTTCACTAACCTCTAACTGAAATTATGAATCTCCTTCAATTATGAACATAGGCAACAAAATACACTAGTAGTAACAACACCTGTGACTTTGACACCAGCACGTTCCACATAAAATATTGGCTAGGCTTGATGCTACTTCAAAATTAGATATTAAATCTGCTGTTAGAACTTGTTATTTAATGTGTTAATAAAGAAGCATGTATTCTGATACTTACATTTCAATGTAACTGTTTTTCTTTAATACTTTATTTTATTTATTTATTTTATTTTTATAAATTTATTTATTTATTTTTGGCTGTGTTGGGTTTTCGTTTCTGTGCGCGGGCTTTCTCTAGTTGCGGCAAGCGGGGGCTACTCTTCATCGTGGTGCGCGGGCTTCTCATTGTCGTGGCTTCTCGTGTTGTGGAGCACAGGCTCTACACGTGCAGGCTCAGTAGTTGTGCCTCACGGGCTTAGTTGCTCCGTGGCACGTGGGATCTTCCCAGACCAGGGCTCGAACCCATGTCCCCTGCATTGGCAGGCAGATTCTTAACCACGTGGCACCAGGGAAGCCCTCTTTAATACTTTATATTCATTTTATGCAGTTAAGAACTTTATCCTAGAAAATGTCAATAGGCTTCACCAGACTGACTGCTGGAGGAGTCCAGGGCATGACAAGGTTAAGAATTTACAGAGTATGGAGGCAGTCCCCAAGGCCACCCTCACTTCTGATGCCAATTGCAAGACCTGGGGTCCCCAAGACCACCCTCAGTTTTTTGTTTTAGTTTCTTGTTTCTTAATTGAAGTATAGTTGATTTATAATGTTTCAGGTATATAGTAAAGTGATTCAGTTATTCATATATATACTGTTTTCGGATTCTTTTCCATTATAGGTTACTACAGGACATTGAATATAGTTCCCTGTACTATACAGTAGGTCCTTGTTGTTTATCTATTTTATATATAGTAGTGTGTATCTGTTAATTCCAAATCTGTCTCTTCCCCCACTTTCCCCTTTGGTAACTATGTCTTTCTATGTCTGTGTGTCTACTTCTGTTTTGTAAATAAGTTCATTTGTATCATTTTTTTAGATTCCACATATAAGCGATATCATATGATGTTTGCTTTTCTCTGTCTGACTTACTTCACTTATATGATAATCTCTATGTCCATCTATGTGGATGAGACCACCTTCAATTTTCATAAATTACTAGAATAACTTATAGAATTTACTGAAAGCTACTGTACTTATGGCTACAGTTTATTACAGTGAAAGGAATCAGCAAAGGGAAGATACACCTGGAGCAGAAAGTTCCAAGAGGGGAGCTTCCGGCTGTCCTCTCCCAGTGGAGTCATGGACAGCACCAACTTTTCCTGGCAATGATGTGTGACACTACACGTGGGATATTGCCAACCAGAGAAGCCCACCTGAGCCTTGGTGTCCAGAAGTTTCATTTAGACGCAGTCAGGTAGCCACGGTGGACCACCTGCTTGTCTGACCTTTCATCTCCAGGCGTCTGGAGGTAGAACTGATATCATGGGGCCAAAGCCTCCGCTATAAATCACATTGTTAGACTATCCAGTGTGATCCAAGACCCCAGGTAAACTCTTATCTGGCAGGACATTCTAAGAATTTAGCAATACCTTGCAGGAGCTGAGGACAAAGGCCAGACCTGTCTTTGGGGAAGGTTAATTCTTTACTACACAAGCTCCACTCTGGAAACTGCCTTGGAGCGGCCAGCTTGGAAGCGGGTGAGTGTCGGGGTGGGGTGGGAATCAGCTAACACACACAGTTGTAGCTACTGAAACCGTTTAGATCTGGGGTCCCCAACTCCTGGTCCGCGGATCGGTAGCGGTCCGGGGCCTGTTAGGAACCGGGCCGCACAGCAGGAGGTGAGCAGCTGGTGAGTGAGCGATGTTTCATTTGCCGTTCCCCACCGCCTCCTGACCCAGCCCCCATCTCCCCCACGCCTCGACCAGGTCCGTGGAAAAAGTCTTCCAAGAAACCAGTCCCTGGTGCCGAAAAGGTTGAGGACCGCTGGTTTAGAGCAATTTTTTTTTTTTTTTTGTACCCAGCAAAGACAGTGTAAAGGTCATTGTTTCCGGAGGCAACTGAATAATACCAATGATTAAAAACATAGCTCAGCCTTGTCTCTACACCTAACACTTTCCAAAGTGTATTTCCAAATGTTGGAAGTGTTAATTCTCAAAACATGTGGAAGGAAGGGGTCCTGTTAAACCTCAGAAGTGAGGGCCCCAGTGGTGGGGCAGAATGTGGACTGCCCCACGCCTCCTCCCGGGCTGTTCAGACAGAGTGAGTCCTGTGGCCGAGAAGATCAGCAGGTATTTTGCAGAATCAGGTTACCTGGTCATGCCGGGGCGGGGCTAGGAGCTTAGCCAGCTTTGGAGATGGCCTGTTCTGGAGTTCACCGGGCATGATTACGTGAGGTAATTGACTGCGCATGTGACCAGCTTACATGTGGGAAAGCACAAGTTTGCCAGAGCCTGGAGTCTTCTAGGCCCAACACGTTTTGACTCATCTAAAGTGAACCCAGAGTCATGACCTCATCCTCCAGTTTGGGGTAAATTACATGCAGTCAGTCTCTATGTTAACATTGAAAAGCCACACTTTCAGGACCCTATTGCTGGTGTCTTCCTGGGTAAGGTCATTTCTACAGGCCTGTGAGGGCTGAGGCTCCGCCACCTCTGCAGGAGCCTGTGTTCCCTGAAGGTGAGAAGTGCACTGGCCCCGCAGGTGGGCACAGAAGGCTTTCTGGGGTGTGGCTAGGATCCAGAGAGCTTTGTGTTTCCCTGAAGAGCACATCTGTGCTCACAAGTGTACTTGTATATAATTTCTGCAGTAGCTGTGACTATTTTATGGAGGTCTGTGTGGTTTTTTTGAAAGCTGCCTTTAAAAAGGATCCTTTCAGGGCTTCCCTGGTGGCGCAGTGGTTGAGAGTCCGCCTGCCGATGCAGGGGACGTGGGTTTGTGCCCCGGTCCGGGAACATCCCACATGCCGTGGAGCGGCTAGGCCCATGAGCCATGGCCGCTAAGCCTGCGTGTCTGGAGCCTGTGCTCCGCAACAGGAGAGGCCACAACAGTGAGAGGCCCGCGTACTGAAAAAAAAGAAAAAAACAAAAGGATCCTTTCAAATGACCATTCTCCCCTTCTCCTCACCAGTGCTGCTGTCCATAATTATTTGGAGGAAGCTCTTTCAGATAATCATCTACACGCCTTTTGGCCCTCATTGCCCAACTGGACTGCAGCTCCATGGGGCAAGGCCTGCTCTGTCCTGTGTATCTCAGCACCAACAGCAGTGCCTGGCATAGAGCGGGCACTTGGCAGATGTTCGTTGAATGAATAATAAGAACGAATCCTATGAGATCACTCACTGTATTCATTTCCTGTGGCTCCTATAACAAATTACCGGAAACTAGGTGACTTAAAACAACAGAACTTTGTTCTCTTACAGTTTCAGTGGCCATAAGTGCAAAGTCAGTATCACTGGGCCAAAATCAAGGGGTCAGCAGGGCTAACACCCTGTGGTGGCTCTAGGGGAGAATCTGTTCCTTGTTTCTTCTGGCCTCTGGTGGCTGCAGCATTCCTTGGCTCGTGGCCGCATCACTCCAATATCTGCCCCTGTGGTCGCCTTCTCCTCTTCTGTGTGTGTCAGATCTCCATCTGCCTCCCTCTTTTAAGGATACACGTGGTTGGATTTGGGGCCCACCAGGAAATCCAGGATAATCTCTCCCCATCACAAGACCCTTAATTACACCTGCAAAATTCCCCTTCCTCCCTTTTTCTCTGTGTAAGGTAGCATTCACAAGTTCTAGGTTTAGGAAGTGGAAATCTTTTGGGGGGGCATTGTTCAGCCTACCATACTCACAAAGGGGATATAAACCAACAGAAGGCTGGGCAGTCCCTCACTGAGCAGTCTGGCAGGGGGACACACATATTCCTGAACGCTGCTAATTCAGGGAAAGTGTCTCAGAGGACTCTGGCTCATGGGGGAGCCCTCATGCCCATATTTGGGGCCTATGTTACTATGAACACGTGAGAACAAGGTATAACCATCTCCTTTCACCCTCAGAGTCTGTGCTCTCAGCAGACCCACGCTCGCCCTCCCCAGAGCAGGTTCCTGCCCTGAGTCTCCTGTGGCAGCTGCAGATGTCAGGAAAGGCAGCCCTTCCCAGGACCCAACCTCAGGAGGGCCCTGGCCCTAGGGCTCCCTGGAGTGTCTCTATGGGGAACCATCCTTTCCTCATCATGTAGGTAAGTTGTCCTTCCCCTTGACAGCAACCACATCTCTGCAGCCTGGTAGGTGGGGCGGGGCGGGGTGGGGGGTGGGGGGAAGCAGCAGATAAGGGAGCAGTGATAATTTGGAAAGGTCAGATGCCAGATAAAGAGAGGTCAGATAAGGAGGAATCCGCCCCAGGCTGACAGGCTAAAGCCTACAGCAAGTTTTGCTTTTTGTGATCCCTGGGACCTGCGGATTCTGCTGCTACTCTCTGTCCCCAAACAAATGATGAAAAAGAAAGACTAAGAAAATAGACAGGACTTGTCTGGATTTAGCAGGTTTATCCATGCTCACTTGCTCTCCACATCACCCTCCTACAGAATGCCCTGCCCCTAATGGTTCCAAATAGCTTTCCAACCTATTGTTTAGGGAGTAATTGAGGTCTTTTATTCTCTATTCTCTAGATTTTCTCTAAATTTTCACTAATCTTATTGTTGCTCTGGCTGGGACTCCCAGAGTGAGTCTGCAGGAAAAGGTGAGACTAAAGCAGAGTGTAACTCCAGGATCTCTCCGTCCAGGTCCGTCCTAACTAACACTCAGCCAAGGAGGAGCTGGGTTGAGGGGAGGGGTGGGCGCACATGCACATCTTCCTTCCAGCAGGGTGGGCTGTCCTCCTCTCAGATGGGCTGCCTTCTCTGGAAGTGCTGCCTCTGATGCAGTCTCCATTCCTTTTTTTGTATTTCCCTTCAATCTGATTCATCCCCTGTGGGCAATAAGAGCCACTGTGGGTTCCCTGGCGGAGTTCTTCTTTTTTAGAGGAATTTGTTTTATTTATTTATTTGCATAATATAGGGTTTTTTAATCGAGGTATAATTGACATGTAACATTATATTAGTTTCAGGTGTACAACACAATGATTTAATATTTGTGTGTATTGTGAATGAACACCACAATAATTTGAGTTAACATCCATCACCAAACATAGCTACAGATTTTTTTTTTCTTGAGAACATGTAAGACCTTCTCTTTTAGCAACTTTCAAATATACAATACAGTATTATTAACTATAGTCTCTGTGCTGTACGTTACGTCCCCAGGACTTATTTTATAACTGGAAATTTGTACTCATAATAGAGTTCTTACAGTTAAAATGTTGACTTTTATTCATCAAGAGTAAAAGAGATTTCATTGGCTAGATTTGTTTTGATGAGTCAGGGGAGGGCCTCAATTTAGAACAATTGTCTTCCAAAGATTTGGTAGGGGGTAATTTTTTGTTTCTTTTCTTTGGGTTTTTAGTTTGTTTTTTTTTTTTCCAGATGAAGCTACAAGTACATTTGTGTCTTTGTCTAAACAGGTAATGCCAACTTCATTTTCAAACAGTGTGCTTGGGCTCCATTCATCACTGTGTTAGGGTTTTTTTACATTTTTTAATTAATTTTTTTGGAGTATAGTTGCTTTACAATGTTGTGTTAGTTTCTGCTGTACAGCAAAGTGAATCAGCTATACGTATACATATATCCCCTCTTTTTTGGATTTCCTTCCCATTTAGGTCACCACAGAGCACTGAGTAGAGTTCCCTGTTGCCTGGCAGAGTTCTGAGTGGAGAATCAGGTGGCCTCAGGTGCCCTTCTGCCCTGGCTCGCTGAATTTTCACAGATAGTACAGCATCTCTGGGCCTCTGTCTGCTGTGGGACAGTGTGAAACAGGTTTATCAACAAGGATCTTTCCAGTGGTGCTACTCTGAGCCTCTATGGTGTTAGAATTGGCTCAAGGACCGAGTTTGGATCTCGAAGTTTAGGTTTATTCCGTATTTGCAGCCCTCTTTAAAAAGCAGGTGGCACATGGCTCTGCATCTGTCTGAACTTGTGGTCATTGTGTTTTATTTGTTCCATGACCTGCAAAGGACTGGCTTAGGCCTTGCATTTCAGAGAGGGGGGACCAGGCTCCCTGGGCACACTCAAGCGTGAGGGGCTGGCAGCGGAGCTGAGGAAGGGGGTGAGGTTGGAAGGCTGCCTGCAACCTCCCCTCGGCACCACCCTCCCTGGGTGGATCTCACATCATTTTGCTGGGGAGAAGAGTCTGAAGGGATATGCCAGGAGGTGGCTGTTATAACAAAATGCCACAGAGTGGGTGGCTTAAGCATCAGAAATGCATTTCTCACAGTTCTGGAGTCCGAGATCAGGTTGCCAGCAGGGTCAGTTGCTGGTAAGTGTTCTTTTCCTGATGTAAACAAAAAGAACAGTGTTGTTCATTATCCTGTTATACAAAGGGTTAAATCACAACCCACTGCAGTCACCCAGGACAGTGTGCCCTGGGCATTCAGGAGGGAAAAACTGCAGGAGACACTCTGTGTTTTGGATAAACAGGCCCCTACCCAGTTAAGGTGCATTTCTGAGGAAGAATTTCAACGACCCCAGATTCTTGTGTCTTCCATGCTAGAAAAGCACATTAACTTCAGATATCTGTTCTTTGTGATTAGCGGTCATCTTTTACCAAGATGTATGCTTGACTAATTGTTTTTCCTAGCCCCCAAATTCATTTATATACTGGCTCCTCACCTACCTCTTCAGAGTAGTTCCTCAGAGCTAGCTGACAGCCTGATTCCTGGACTATAGTCCTCAGTAAGATGCCTGAAAATAACTTAACTCACAACTCTGTTGTTTTTTTCTTTCAGTTGACACTGGTTTGCAGACTGTTTCCTTCTTACTGTGTCTTCACATGGTGGAGAGAGAGATCCTCTCTCGTGTCTTTTTCTATAAGGGCACTAATCCCATTCATGAGCGCTTCACCCTCATGACCTCATTTAAACCTAACCACCTCTCAAAGGCCCCGCCTGCAAAGGCCATCACATTGGGGATGAGGTATCCACATATGAATTTTGAGGGGGACACAAGCAGCACTGTTCTCAAGGGGCAAGGTGGCAGCATCTCTCCTGCTGCCCACAGGGCCAGGTGTCTGCTGGCAAGTCTGGGCATGGACAGGAGGGTGCGTACAAAGGGGGCTTCCGCCTGCAATGTCTTCCCTGGGAATAAGCTTGCCTGTGCAGAGTGGCTCACATTTACACGTGACGCCTTTGTCAGATCCGCTATCTCTCCATTCTCCCCAAATCCCCCTGAGCTCCTCCTGGGTGCCACATCCTGCAGTAGTAAGAGAAGGAGGTGAGTCGGTCCTGGAGCCTGCCCTCTAGGGACTCTTCCTGGTAGGGAAGACCCTCTGGTGAGCCCTGTGTTGGGGGGTCCAGCAAGAGAAGCTGTAGAAGGTTTAGATTTGACCTCTTGATTTTTTTTTTTTTTCGGTACGTGGGCCTCTCACTGTTGTGGCCTCTCCCGTTGTGGAGCTCAGGCTCCGGACGCTCAGGCTCAGCGGCCATGGCTCACGGGCCCAGCTGCTCCGCGGCTTGTGGGATCCTCCCGGACCGGGGCACGAACCCGTGTCCCCTGCATCGGCAGGCGGACTCTCAACCACTGCGCCACCAGGGAAGCCCAACCTCTTGATATTTTTGATATGCCATGTTCTTTACCACCCAAGGCCTCGCCACAGGCTGATCCCTCTGCCCAAATTCCCTTCTCCCATTCACCTGGTGAGCTCCTACTTATTTTTCAGGTGCCCTGAAAAGTCTTCCCTGAGGCCCTCCCCATCATTATTCCAATTCCTCTTGACATCTCTTAGCTTTGTTTCCTTTTCCTCTCCCTCCCACAGGAGAGAGACTGTGTCTGTCATGTTCCTTGTCATACCCCAGTGCCTGGCACATAGTAAGCAGGCAGTACATGCTTAATGGATCATCGAAGGAAAATGTTACACAGAGGAGGCACTGATTAACTTTATCAGGAGCGAATCAGGGAAGGCTTTCTGGAGGAGGTGATGACTAAAGGAAGAAGAAAAGTTTGCTGGGTGTTCTAGGCAGTCGGAACAGAAGGTGCAAAGGCCCAGAGTGGTGACATCATATGGAAGGTTGGTGTTGTCAAGATGCAGATGAAAGAGCTGCAGGGTCAGGGTCTGCCCATGGAAGACCCAGCATGTGTGTTCAGAGCTGGGGGATGGGAATTAGAAGGGGCACAATGCCACTGCCCTGGAGGCTGTATTAGGTGGATTGACGGCCCCCAGGCTGGAGCAAGGAGGCCAGTTAGGAGGTTATTGTGATGCACCAGGAAAGAAACATAGGCCTGAACCCAGGCAGCAGCTGTGAGGATGGGGAGGGGAGATGAATTTGAGGTTTCAAGCTGGAACCCCAGGGCTTGATGACTAATCCAGTGCGGTAGAAGGAGCAGTGGAGAGTGGAAGTTCATGCCACTAACCTGAACCACAGACCCAAGAAGAACAACAACTTTGAGGAAGTTGAGGTGGGAAGGTTTAGATCAGTTCTGATTCAGACACAGCGAGTTTGAAGATCCTTTGGGACCTCATGTAGCAAACGGTTTTGTATTTGAGTCCAGAGCTTGAGAGAATTCAGAGCAGGAGGTGTAGATTTGGACTCCTGGTCATATATGTGGAAATTAAAACCATAGGGATGAATGAGACTGCTGGGGAGAGGGTGTGGAGTAGGGCCAGAGGTCTGGGCATAAAACCCTTGGGGAAGTAAAAACTCAAGTTGCCTTCAGAGGAAGAGTACCCAGGAGAGGACACCAAGAAAGGTCTGTCCCTCTATCCTCCTTGACATAAGTATGTGGTCCTTCCTGTTCCAAAGAGTGGATCTTGACAGTGGAAGCCAGTGGTGGTAACCTCATTCCCCTTGTCAGTGATTGGTATAGGAATGGACCTGTGACCCATCCTGACCAATGAAACGTGAGAGGAAGAGTTCTAAAGGGCTTCTGGGAAAGGTTTCCTATTCTTAAGATGGGAGCAAGGATGAGATGGTTCTATTTTACCTCTGGACTTTGTCCAGTCTGCATGGGATACCAGAAACAGTTGCAGCTATCTGTGATCATAAGGAAACCCAGCCTAGGGAGCAAGTCCACATGCCAAAGCTGACAGAGAGGAGAAATGGAAAGAACTGGAATCTTTGATGACATTGGTGATCTACTATCGCAGCCATCCCTGGAATCCACTCTTCCATCGAGCCTTTTCCTATGTGATACAATGAATTTTATTTTTGTTTTGGCCAGTTTAGATTAGGTTTTCTGTTACTTTCTACTAGAGTAACCAAGGGAGGAAAATATTTCAGCAGAACTCCTCAGAAATTCATTATGAAAAAAGTCTAATACCGTTAATTGGATTTGGCAGTATGGTGGTCAAAGGGCAAATTCAGTGGACAGATGGGCTAGAAGGCTGACCAAAGAGACTAAAATGTGAGTGGGAGGTGTGGACGTAAAGACTGTAAGTGTAGACTGAAACAGACACCTGGTCAGAAGACCTGGATTTTAGTAAGTCAAGGATAGGCTATGATGTGATAACAAACAAACGCCAAGCCTCAGTGGCCCAACACACACAAGCTCTGTATTTTGTTTTTGTTTTTTCACTTGTATGAAGTCCTCCGTGGATCAGACAGCTCTCTTCCAGCAGTGTCTTGGGGACCTGGGTTGTTTCAATATTGTGGTTATGCCGTCTCAACGTGAGAACTCTGTGGTGAGCATGGCAGGTAAAGGGAGAGCTGAGGGGGCGTTCAGGGTGCTTCCTCCGCCTTATCCCGCTAGTGACACCTGTAACTCTTGCTCCCAGTCCATTGGACAGAAGTGGTCACGTGGCCCTGTCCAGCTACAGGGGAAATTGTGGAGCACCCATGGATATGTGGTGAGCATCAACTGTGTCTGCTGGATCTTAACTTTCTGAACTTTACTTTTTCCTCAGTAAAATAGAAGATCACCCAACTCACACAGGGTTGTGAAAATCAAAGAAGATATGGAGGACCTCTTTTTTCTGTTGTCTTCCATGATTCTGTTTTGTCTCGGTTTTTCCATGCCTGTATAATCTGGGTGTTAAAAATAAATCCCACCTACTGAACACCTACTAGGGATAATGGTAATAGGTAGGATTCATTGAGTGCTTACTGTGAGTCAGGCACAATTCCAGGCACTGTCCATACATCAACATAGTACTGAACATACTGTTTTCTCCATTTTGCAGGGAACTCATGCCTAGCATGGTGTCTGGCACACAGAAGACTTTCGACAGATGTTTGGATAAATTCAGCAACTTGTTCAAATCACAGATCTAGCAAGGGGCAAAGTGACCAGTGGCCCCCCAAATACATCTAGGTCTTAATCCCTGCAACCTGTGAATGTCACTTTCCTAATATGGCAAAAAGGGCTTTGTCATAATCCAGATGTGATTAAGTTAAATTTAATCCAGATGTGGTTAAGGATCTCAAGATAGGAAGAGTAGCCACGATTATCCAGGTGGGCTCCAAATGCAATCACATGTATCCTTTTAAGGGGAAGGCAGAGGGAAATTTGACACACAGAAAAGAGAAGGCGATGTGACCAGAAGGTGGAGATTGGAGTGATGCGGTCACAAGCCAGTGAGTGCCACCGGAAGCTGGAAGAGGCGAGATGATGGATTCTTTCCTTCCTTCGAGGCTCTGGACAGAGTGCCACCTTCTCAATTCCTTGATTCCAGCCCAGGGACACAGATTTCAGAACTTTGGTTTCCAGAACCACAAGAGAATAAATTTCTATTGTTTGAAACGACCCAGTTTACGGCAATTCGATACGGCAGCCACAGGAAATTGATACACCAGGTTTGGGCGATGGCCCAGGAACACCTTAGAGTCTGCAGTCCTCTGGCCTCTGCCACCTAGAAGGTCAAGAAGGGGTTCCTACGGGCCCCTGTGCCTGCAGCAGAGACAGAGGAGGAGGTGGAGATGCACTGGGGTTGGTCTGAAAGAAGAGTTTTAAAAAACAGTCTATAGACTCCCAGGAATCAGAAGTTGAAAGCCATCCATCCAGAAACGCTTATTATGCACGTGCTGTGTGGCAGACCTGCTGGGACTACAGATTTAAGAAGACTTGGAATTGGGTGTGGGTGGATTCATGCTGTTGAGGATGAGGCGAGGGGGTCCCGGGACTGGGCTGCGGGCTGGAGCTGCGGGGGCGGAGGAAGCCCGAGGCCTGTCCTGCTGGCCCTGCTAAGGGGGCAGGTGCCTGGCCAGGAAGGGCCTGGAATCTCCTTCACCTGAAAGCAGACGCAAGGAGTGTGCGTCCCAAGGTGGGTGTTTGGTTCAGGTTTCTCAGGAAGTCAAGGCAGTGGTGGTGGAGGAAAGTGGCCTGGAGTCCTGTCTGACCTGGAAGGAAGTGCACGGGGTGAAGCGTGGAGAGGCCAACCTCCAGGGGGACTGTGAGGCCTGCAGCCAAGGTGTGGGGAGCAGGGGAAACAGGCGGAGGCTGCCAGCCACGGAGCTCATGGCCCGTGTCTCCAGGGACAGAGACGGGGCTCCTGGAGCTGTGGTTTGGGGTCACTTTTGGGTCTGCTTGGCCCGAGGGAAGGGAGTGCTGCCCCTGCAGACAGAGGGACCTCTGGGCCTTGCCACTACTGCTGGGCGTTGACCTTGGGCCTGAGGGTTTGTGGACCTTGGTTGTCACGTGACACTGCAACCTGGGGCTGAGAATGTACGTGACCTCTTCTGGGAGGCCGTCCGTGGGCACACCGGACTGGAGGGCTCCACTGGCCCAACTCACATGATTGGCCGAGAGGGGCCACGACAGCATCTTCAATTTTATGGAAGAAACAGAGCTCAAGGAAGAGGGAGGGCGTCCTACCAAATCAGGAAGAGACAAAAAGGGGGAGGTTAGCCAGGAAGGGGGGGGGGGGCTGGGATACTGGTCAGCGCCCAGTAGCTGGAACATTCCAGCACTTTCCTGAAAGAGAGCTCCCTCAGGGAGAGAAGTTTCATTCTGTTCAGTTTTTGAGGGGGGCACTTTGAGAGCGTGACATGGTGAAGACAGTCCCTGCTTCTGTGGTGGTGGGGCTCTCAGCCTCTCCTCTTTTCTCGTCTCTCAGCTTCTCTTTGTCTTTTTTCCCTTCCTGTCTCCTCTCCCTTCTCCCCTTTTCTTCTCCCATCCTTTCTTTGTGAATGGCTCCTAGACTCTTCCTGTCTCTCTTTCTGTCCCGTGCTGTGTCTGCATCGATCACAGCCCCCTGAACACACACACCCATTCACACACACACACACACACACACACACACACACACACACACACAGAGTCTGACTTTATTCGGATCACCTCCGCTAATGGGCCAGCCAGGACATCACCGGAAGCACCTGTGCTCTGACACGGCCCAAGCACATTTTTTCTATTTTCTCATTTATACTTCCTCATTCACATTTTCCTTTCTGCAGGTTTGCTTACAACGTCATCTGAGACTTTCTGGCCCCTTCACGTTTCTTCATCTATTTTTATCAGCAAGCACCCAAACTTCTTCCTGGTGCCTCCCCGCCCCCACGCAGCCTGAAGAGAAGGCTCAGCTCCCTGGGGCCCAGGAGGGTCAAGAGGCTGCTGGGGGATGGGCAGCAGGCAGAGAGGTCTGGCTCCTCACCTGGACTCCTGAGAAGCCAGTCAAACAGGAGGAGATGATAGTCTCCCCTCTGCTCTTAGCCTCCCCGGAGCTGCTCCCTCCTGAAGTCCAGGAGCCCTTCTGGAAGCAGGAGAAGAATTCCCACATGGAGGTTACAGAGTTCCCCATTAGCACATGATTTAAAGCTGGGATACCAGAGGGGCAGTCCAGGTCCCGCTTCTATTCCTGGTGACCCCTGGCAAGTCACATGATCCCTTAGAACCTCAGTATTTTTAGTCTGGAAATCAGGCATTTTAGTTTGCTCTACCTACTGCACAAAGGGTTCTGCGTTGTGAGCTACCTGTAAGGGTGACGACAACAAAGACAAGGGTGATGTTGATGACAGCACTTGCCACAGACTGTGTGCCAGGCCCTATCGTAGGTGCCTTAATGTATGAACTCACTTCATCCTACAACAACCTCAGAAGTACGTAGTGTTATCATCTCTGTTTTACAGACGAGGAAATGGAGGTGCAGAGAGGTTAAGCTACTTGTCCAAGGTTACACAGCTGGTAAGCAGCTGAGCTGGGATTCAAACTCAACAGTCTGGCCCCAGACCTCACACCCCTGTGACTGAGACTTCCATGGTCTGGAAGAACAATGTTACTCCCTCTCTCCCAGTACGACAACAAGTGCCCAGGGGGAGGGGATCCAGTTTGCAGAAGTGGTCGTCCAGGTCCTGAGAGCGTGTGGCCATCTCCACCTTGGCCATCTCCTGAGGGCGACGCAGTCACTGGGCGGAAGGGGGGCGCTGCTCCAGGGCTTCAGTAACCTTCTGTGTTTTTTCAGTGCAGTCTCTTCAGGCTTTGTTACCACAATACATTTATTTTTGGAGTATTACTATTACCAGTTTGACACCGCAGCCCTCTTATTTGTCAGCCCCATTCTTTCTGGTTTATGTTTAAGTGTGTTGTGTGTTGACTCCACTGCTGCTATCTTTGCTTCTTTTCTAAAAACGGTATTCGAGTGGGAAGCACTGTGTATTCACTCACTTCTTCAGCAGACATGACTTCCGTGTAAGGACGCTGTGCTGATTGCTCTGGGGGACATCAAAGATGAAGTCGGTGTGGCCTTTGCCCTCAAGAATCTTCCAGTCCAGGAGTGACAAGTAACATGCATGGACGTGGCTGTAATGGCACATGGATGCTGTATGAGCATTGCCACCAAAGTCACGGCAGGACTTCAGACAGCTCTCAGGGAAGTCTTTTTAGAGGAGATAGTGGATAAATAAGTTATGGCGCAGAGATCCCAAAACACAGTAGTCTATATAAGATCAATCTTAGGATATAATTTTATTTCCCTCTTCCATAACAGTGCAGACGCAGGTGGCACTAGTCTGGTGGGACAGCTCAGCTCCGCAGGGTCATTCAGGGACACAGTTTTGCTCTATGCTGTTGCTTTGCTCCACTGTCCTGTTGGGTATTATCTTCATCTGTAAGGTTAAAGCTTGGTCATTGCTGCATTGACCTCCCACCTTGTGGCAAGGGCGAAGGGAGGATGGAGGAACAAACAGATGCTTTAAGGCACAGACCCAGAGTGGCTCACCTATTCTGTTGGCCAGAACTTGGCCATTTGGCCACATTTAATTACAAAGCAGGTTGGGAAATGTAGTCTATAGCCAAGTAACCAAGTGTCCAGCCAAAAGTTCAATGTGGAAGAAAGAGATAATGGGGGAATATTATCTACATCTCAATGACTTGGGCCTTGGCAAATGGACAGGATATTGTGGGGTAGGAATTGGAGGGGGACGGCATTCCAGGTGGAGAAAACGGCAGAGGTGCGGGAAGGTGCATGATGGATTTGGAGAAAGTGAAGATCCAGCATACCTGGGGTGTGGGATTTATGTAGAGGAGCCTGTGACCCACGTTTGGGTAGAGACGGGGCAGGCTTCATCTCTTTAATAGGCTGCTCAGTCTTCCCATAGAATATGGTCCTTGTCACCTGCCATCCAAAAACGAATCTTCTTTAATCAACCACACAGGATGTGGCCACCATCCGCCCAACTCAGGAAATTTAATTTTGAACTGACAGCGATCTAGATTCTATCACAAGTTGGCTCCCCAAGGCTGTGTTACTTTCAACAGTGATTTTTTTTAACAACTTTATTGCATTATAATTGCTTTACAATAGTGTGTTAGTTTCTGCTTTATAACAAAGTGAATCAGCCATACATATACATATATCCCCAAATCTCCTCCCTCTTGCGTCTCCCACCCTCCCTCTCCCACCCCTCTAGCTGGTCACAAAGCACCGAGCTGATCTCCCTGTGCTATGCGGCTGCTTCCCACTAGCTATCTATTTTACATTTGGTAGTGTATATATGTCCATGCCACTCTCCCACTTCCTCCCAGCTTACCATTCCCCCTCCCCGTGTCCTCAAGTCCATTCTCTATGTCTGTGTCTTTATTCCTGTCCTGTCCCTAGGTTCATCAGAACCTTTTTTTTTTTTTTTTTAGATTCCATATATATGTGTTAGCATACAGTATTTGTTTTTCTTTCTGACTTACTTTACTCTGTATGACAGACTCTAGGTCCATCCACCTCACTACAAATAACTCAATTTCGTTTCTTTTTATGGATGAATAATATGCCATTGCATATATGTGCCACATCTTCTTTATCCATTCATCTGTCGATGGACACTTAGGTTGCTTCCATGTCCTGACTATTGTAAAAAGTGCTGCAATGAATATTATGGTACATGAGTCTTTTTGAATTACGGTTTTCTCAGGGTATATGCCCAGTAGTGGGATTGCTGGGTCATATTGTAGTTCTATTTTTAGTTTTTTAAGGAATCTCCATACTGTTCTCCATAGTGGCTGTATCAATTTACATTCCCACCAACAAGAAGTTTCCCTTTTCTCCACACCCTCTCCAGCATTTATTGTTTGTAGATTTTTTGATGATGGCCATTCTGACTGGTGTGAGGTGATACTTCATTTTAGTTTTGTTTTGCATTTCTTAATGATTAGTGATGATGAGCATCCTTTCATGTGTTTGTTGGCAATCTGTATATCTTCTTTGGAGAAATGTCTGTTTAGGTCTTCTGCCCATTTTTGGATTGGGTTGTTTCTTTTTTTGATATTGAGCTGCATGAGCTGCTTGTAAATTTTGGAGATTAATCCTTTGTCTGTTGCTTCATTTGCAAATATTTTCTCCCATTCTGAGGGTTGTCTTTTCGTCTTGTTTATGGTTTCCTTTGCTGTGCAAAAGTTTTTCAGTTTCATTAGGTCCCATTTGTTTATTTTAGTTTTTATTTCCATTTCTCTAGGAGGTGGGTCAAAAAGGATCTTGCTGTGATTTATGTCATAGAGTGTTCTGCCTATGTTTTCCTCTAAGAGTTTGATAGTGTCTGGCCTTATATTTAGGTCTTTAATCCATTTTGAGTTTATTTTTGTGTATGGTGTTAGGGAGTGTTCTAATTTCATTCTTTTACATGTAGCTGTCCAGTTTTCCCGGCACCACTTATTGAAGAGGCTGTCTTTTCTCCACTGCATATTCTTGCAGCCTTTATCAAAAATGAGGTGACCATATGTGCATGGGTTTATCTCTGGGCTTTCTATCCTATTCAATTGGTCTATATTTCTGTTGTTGTGCCAGTACCATACTATCTTGATTACTGTAGCTTTGTAGTATAGTCTGAAGTTCAGGAGCCTGATTCCTCCAGCTCCGTTTTTCTTTCTCTAGATGGCTTTGGCTATTCGGGCTATTGTATTTCCATACAAGTTGTGAAATTTTTTGTTCTAGTTCTGTGAAAAATTTCATTGATAGTTTGATAGGGATTGCATTGAATCTGTAGATTGCTTTGGGTAGTAGAGTCATTTTCACAATGTTAATTCTTCCAATCCAAGAACATGGTATATCTCTCCATCTATTTGTATCATCCTTAATTTCTTTCATCAGTGTCTTATAGTTTTATGCATACAGGTCTTTTGTCTCCTTAGGTAGGTTTATTCCTAGGTATTTTATTCTTTTTGTTGCAATGGTACATGGGAGTGTTTCCTTAATTTCTCTTTCATATTTTTCATCATTAGTGTATAGTAATGCAAGAGATTTCTGTGCATTAATTTTGTATCCTGCTACTTTACCGAATTCATTGATTAGCTCTAGTAGTTTTCTGGTAGCATCTTTAGGGTTCTCTATGTATAGTATCATGTCATCTGCAAACAGTGAGAGCTTTACTTCTTCTTTTCCTATTTGGATTCCTTTTATTTCTTTTTCTTCTCTGATTGCTGTGGCTAAAACGTCCAGAACTATGTTGAATAATAGTGGTGAGAGTGGACAACCTTGTCTTGTTCCTGATCTTAGTGGAAATGGATTCAGTTTTTCATCATTGAGAATGACGTTGGCTGTGGGTTTGTCATATATGGCCTTTATTATGTTGAGGTAAGTTCCCTCTATACCTACTTTCTGGAGGGTTTTTATCCTAAATGGGTGTTGAATTTTGTTGAAAGCTTTTTCTGCATCTATTGAGATGATCATATGGTTTTTATCCTTCAATTTGTTAATATAGTGTATCACATTGATTGATTTGCATATATTGAAGAATCCTTGCATTCCTGGGATAAACTCTTGATCATGGTGTATGATCCTTTTAATATGCTGTTGGA